TATTTATTTTTATTTTATATACAATTTTACTTTGTTTTATTTGCCCCACCTTTAGGAGAGTCAAAATATCAGATTTTAAATGGAAGTTAGAAAACTGATAAAGGCTTTGGAATAAGGCAGGGAGTAAATATGTTTAAAACAGGTGAGCACAGTGAACACCATAAAAAGGGCAAATGAAAAGAAAGTAGACAACTGTAAAAATGTGTTTAAAGTGTAATAGAATAGGAGTAGTAATAGTAGAAGCAATAGAATAGTATAGGAGAGACAGACCAACCCCATAAATACATAGATGTCCAAAATTCAAGACTGGTTGCCCACAAAGCAACCACTCACTGCCTTACTTGTCATCTGATTTCTCCTATGTGTTATGGGAGCACATCAGTTCTGGTGAAATGGATGTGTTGTCATTTGTTTACCATTCATTTTTATTGACCATCCTTTTAGTCATCATTGTCCTCATCACCCTTAATACACAGAATATCATTAGAGAGTTTTCCAGGGTCATCATTTCAGTTATCAGATGTTACTTGAGAATATTTAGTTCCTTTAGGGTAAAGTCGATCCCTGTTTGGCTGGTACAGAGCATTATTTAAAATACGGTGAGCAGTCAAGGAAGTTGAAGTGTTCCCTTCTTTTGTTAGCTATGTTCTTCCAAGGACCCCCGAAGCAGGTACTCTCATGTGGCTGATTATAATATAGTACTCCTAGGAGAAATTGTAGACTCAGAAGTTGATTGCCTTTGAAAGCATTCAATTTAAATTTTAAAATATCCTTCTCTTATTAAAAGTACATGTTTATCATAGAAAAGTTAGAAAATGAAAGGAATACCATTTCTCATCTATCAGATTGATACAAATCAGTTTTTCAACAATATTGGTGAGACTAATAAGAGCATAGAATGGTTCATGGAGAGAAGCTGATGATGTTTTACAAAATTACAGAACCATTTATTCTTTGATCTAGCAGTTCTGCCTTTGGGAATCTCCCAAAGGCATACCTGCACACAAATTAAATAACATATGTTATTCATTGTTGTCTCGTTTAATAAGAACAGACTGGAAACAATTCAAGTGTTGAGTCTGAGTATAGTAGCAAATGAACAATGGTACATTCACATGGAGGAATACCATGCGATTATTTAAAAAACAAAGGAGGTGGGGGAAGGTCTGTATGTACTAGTAGAGAACGTATATAGTTTGCCACCTCTTGTGTGTGAAAGGGGGAATAAGAATCATATTACTATTTGTATAAAGAACCACTTTATACAAATGGAAAAATGAAAAATAAGTTATATGGTTACCCACATGGGGAAGGGGGAAATTGTTGGGGATAGGGAT